GGCCTTCCACGAATTCAGACTGGGGAGGTTTACACTAAACACCGTTTTCCGACCTGACCAAACGCAAACCAAACAGACCATGCCACCAATGACCGCTCAACTGATTACTTTTTTTTCAGACATTTCTCACTATATGGTTTTCAAAGCACACTCAATTTTGAGAGCTTAATTCGGAGCGCACGTGCAGAAAAAAGAAGCAGCAAAATGCTGAGCCAGTCTGAACCATTCCAAAGATAACTGCACAGCGCCGTAAACCAGTGGAGGGGTGGAGGAGCTGGGGGAATGGCTGCTCTAAATTAAAACATGAAACGATGAATGAGAAAGGGCCGAAAGGCCTGGCAGGTAGGCACAGGCAAGCAGAAGGGGAAGGCGGGACCAGCACAATACTTTACAGCCCCGTATACATCTTCCTGTTCTGTACGGCGAAGATTTCCGTCTCCGCACAAACTACGCCACGCCGAGCCACCAGATGAGACCTGCTTTCTTCCCTTTTCATCCTCCTGGCTTCTGTAGTACTTACTCAAAAGTAAAGAACTCGAAATTTTCGCAACTGATGTGAATCGGTAATCGGTCAGGCACACTGTAAAAGGTGAGCCGGGTGTAACTGTGAATACGCAGCAGTGTTGCGGGTTTGCAAACTTAATATGGCCGCAGGGACCATGGCCCCTAACGGGTGTAAAGAGTAGGCAAACCCTCAACACTGCTGCGCATCCACAGTAACACCCACACCCGGTGCGTATGGTTTAACGAGGAAAAAAGTTTTAAAGCGTTTTATACGGGAAAACGTTCAATAATGTCAATTTGATAGTAGCGATTTTATTTTCGCGAGAAATGATTGTTGGAAACGTTTCAAATTTAAATATAGATATTCGCAAAAAAACAACAACAGACGATTCGTATCGTTTCTAAACGATCACGTTACCTTGATATACCTCCTTGTGAGTGCTTAGAAAATTCACGTATTTTTGTATTTTTGTCCCATACATTTTGACAGCATGTAAGAGCTTCAGCAATTTGTAAACAAAGACTGTTTTGTATTATTAATGAAAACGGCAGTTTCGTAACTTGCATAATTATGCACAATTGTATGTCTTAACGAAACGTGTACGTAAAACAACGTTCTCATCAACAACGCAAAAGTTATGTGGACCATTCTATTTCCATTAAACGCTACAGCAATCAAAAACGTAAAAAAAAAACATGGGAGGGGAAAAAAGCGGTAAAAAACAATTGATGGTGTGTGGGGGTGGGCCGAAGAGGACGGCCCCAAGCCTCTCCATTAACTATTCAGGTCCTCTCCTATACGCGGCTTTCAGCGCGCAGGCCTGTTCGAATAGCCGCCACCGCAACGCGAGTACGCTTACTGCAAAGCGACCAAGAGCAGACTCCACCACCGCTGCTTCACAGTCGCTCCGCTCCTCCCCCTACACCACCCTGCCCCGCCACCTCAAAGCACCCCTTGCTGCAGCATGTCGTCACAAAGGCTGTGCGGACGGATCGTCACCGGAAATGCCCCGCTAAGCTGCGAAGCGAATAGAGAGGGAAGAGAAGAGACCCCCTGGTGCACAAAAGATGGCGAGGGGGAGGCGAGGTGTCTTGGAAGACGGTGCCAACTAAGGACAGCGGACAGTATCGCATTAAAGGAGAGCACAGGGGGAAGGAGGGTACCGAGCTTTGCACTTACGGCTCTGAGAGGGAAGACAGGACGGTTTGGAGATGGTACAAAAAGCACTACGTTGGGAGTTCGAAGGTTTCGACCTACGTCAAGGACTCCTCCATCGTTTTCGGGAAACCCAAGCATAACAAGGGAATGAAGGAACGTAAAAAACATAGAAACAGGGAGGAGAGAGAGAGAGAGAAAGGTGAGCAGCCTGTTGCTGAGGCATAAGGTGTACTCTAACTCCTCCATGAACAAAAGGTGACGATGTGGTCGGTCAGGGACTGTCGCTCTGCGATCAGGTGGCGACTTTGTTTCGACAGTTCGACAGTTTCAGTCCACCTGCCCGCCGGGGCCATGCCTGGAAAGGCTATACACGGGTATTGGTTGTGGAAGGGAGCCGGGGGGTAGAGTGCCCTACGCGTTACGTGTTCCGATGCACGCAAACTTATGAATAAAACTACTTGCAAACTTCCGCTGGGTGCTTGCCTGGACAAGGGTAGCATGCGGCGGGCGGCGGGGCGGGGCTGGTCGAGGCGGGGCCGACGGTCGGCGCGTTGTCGGAGGGGAACACGGTAATCAAAACTTAGAACGAGGCAACGCCTGCCGTGTTACTCAACCACGGATGAAACCCAACTCTAAAACCCCCCGTTCCCCACCCCGACCTCTCGCCAAACACACTTTCCCTCTTCTGCAGCTCGGGTCCATTTGACTGTCTGCTGTCCGAGTTAGACCAAAATTATCTTCAGGTATGAAAATTTAGAGCCCGAGTACTGACCTAGGCCAGCAAGCAGAACAGCGCGAGGCTCACTGCCTGCACCGTGATTAGCTAACACACACACACATTGCGAGAGAAGGAAACACACAAACACACTCTGCTGCGCCTGGATGCGGGCTAAGGTCGCTCCTCCTACCACCCACCGCTCGACCCTCGTCCTTACCCACCCCACCGCCACCGCACGACCACGAGTTTAAAAATCCATTCTAGTAATGAAATGAGGATGGCCAGCACGGCTCACCGCCTTGGTCTAAGGCGCAGCGAAGCAGCCGGAATCCGGCCCGAGACACTACATCTTCCGACTCCCTCGCTCCCGGCATTACCAGCGCCCGTCTTCCTTCTTCTTACACATACCCCTCTCCCACCTCTCACTGGTCTCTGTAGTATGGTACTCAGAAAAGGGCTGAAACGCTGAGCCGCAATGTGCGAAGGTAAATGAGCGTCCCGAGAGAACACAGCTTTTTGACAAGCGCACTGACAAGCGACGGAAAACATTTTGTATGAGTGCGTTTTCCACCCTTGATACTTGCAGAAATCATCCTCAATCTTGCCTTGTATTTTCGAAGTACTTTCTAAATACACAGAAATAATTTTGTGCCTCTATACTTGGTGAGCAGGAAACTGAACAAACTACTTGCACGCATGCTCGCGTCGTTTCTGTCACATCCGAGGGGGCATCAACTTCGACTATTATTCACGGTGCACCCGCTGGTTAATATCTTATAGGTATTCAGGTGATATTTGCGAATATTCACAAGATATTCAAAATATTCATCGATATTCATCGATATTCATCAATATTCAAGGATATTAATCAACAATCACAGTGAATATTCACTGGTATTCAGTGATATTCACTGGTATTCAGTGATATTCACTGGTATTCAGTGACATTGAATATTTGAATATATTCACAGTTCACCAAATTTCCAAGTTGGTTCCCCCTCGGTCACATCCACCACTTTGAATACTTAATCTGCATATTTCTCTCTTCAATTATTTTATCGTAAATCGTAGAAAAGAGTGTAATTGTAGACGAGACGTTTCCTAATGCCACAGAAGGGTTTGATCCGCACTATGAAGGAAATATACGCATATACAGGCAGAGATACCTTGGTGAACACTTAGAACTGAACGTTCGTGCGATGATTTGGGGGGGGGGGGGTATTTCCTTTTAGGTATACCAGGTTACTGGATTTAGTACGGCGCCCCTCTATCGGATCGGACCTATCCATGGCCGTTCGCTATGCAGCCTCTACCCGGAATGGCCGGGCAGCGGGCAATGAGTGGCCAGCCGACCGCAGATGTTTGAAGAGGGTCGTCATTGTGGACCCACCCCTCCTGGTCCGCTGGCCTCCACTCGTCAGCCAGGCCAGTTGGCTGCCGTCGCTCGTCCCTCCAGATTGACCAATGCAATTGTGTCATGACGCAACAATATCTTTACATTTTTATGTCGATGTTTGTAATTTCAAAATTGTCCTTACGTCAGCCCTTGCTGTTGTTCCTGCTCTAACACACTTAAAAGTACTTTTAATGTTAGATAATAGCAACATGTGCCTTTCTGTAAACAATTTGTTTTTTTGGCAGTGCTGCGCGGCCACAACACAACAATTTAACACGTTGAGTGCGGCGGGGGTAGGCAATCCCATGTTATTGTGACCCACGGTATGGGTCACGCCGCACTGAACGTGTTAAAGACAGGGTGCTAGTACCCGCTAGTCAATACCTTGGCATGTACACATAAAAAATCATGCCATTGTAGGGCGCGTGCACAAGTGAGTCGGCGAGGCACAGCCTGCCGAGGCACAGCCTGCGGAGGCACAGCTGTCGCACTCCATTATGTAATTGGGCCACTGAAGCCTCAGAACTTTCGGATCAGGATGAGTCTTTGCGTTGCGCCCCCCCCCCCCTCACTCCCCACTCCAAGCCTATCGTTGGGAGGGTGTTGCTATAGGCTAAGATGGTTGCCACTTAAACTACGAGTAGGAAGAAGTGTTGTTAAGCACCATGTTACGGACTTCTGGCCGCCGAGCCGAAACGCGCCGATGCTGATACGCAAACTATGCAATTTTCCTAAAAAGTGTGCGCCTTCTCAAGCCGCACGGGCCATACCGCGAAGTTGCTCTAGAAAAATGTTGATCCGTAGTCCAACCTTGCTTACCTCGTAAACTGCGCCCAGCGGCATGACGAGGCACGCCACCATGAGGTCCGCCACAGCCAGCGAGACAATCAGGTAGTTGGCCACGTTCTGCAAGTTGCGCTCCAGGAGGATGGCAGCGATCACGAACACATTGCCTACAGAGAAAGAAACAACCTTCTTGAGGTACTTATTTCATGAGTGTATCTATTTCAGGAGGAGAAAATACCCGTCTATGGCCCGTGTTCTAAAAAATATATGGTGTTTAAACAAAGACTAGTTGATTAGATCATCAAACAAAAACAAACCACCTCGTTTAGAAACAATCTGATTTGTGTCATTTGCTTTCATGATCTCTTTTAAGATGGATTTAACTGATAGATTCAACACTTTTTTCTTTCGGAAGAACCTCTTATCTTTTCAGTTCTTTTCTAAAATCGGACGGGAAAGTGTCGAAGTAGTTAGTAGGAGCTTTAATTGACGGAGCGGGAGGATCGACACAAATCCAGCCGCCAGTCAGCAGTTTTATTTCTGAATAGAAGAAGACAGAAAAGAAATTTAGTGTCGAAGGAGCAGAGATAGCATGGCAGCTAATTATCGTCAAGGGAGTGCGAAGTTTAGCCCAACCCCCTCCATCAGTTGGTAGCGTTTCATTTTACTTCGTATTGCTTTTCTGTGCTGCTCTGTCTTTCTCCACGCGATATTTAATCTTCCTTATTCCCTAAAACACACTGGGAATAAGCGAATGCCCAAAATACATTCAAAATAAATACGTTCAGATCAAACGTCACAACACATACACGAATTTTAAAGTTTGAACTAGTTTGTATTACACTGTTAAAAATATTTTGTGATTTCCCATCGCTTTCACGATACAAAAGCAACTGCAAAATCACAGCACTTCTTTGTTCTAAAAAATAGTGCATTTTCCTATCTTACTTGGAAATAGTTGTGAACCAATCGTAATAATTTCTGAATTTACCAATTTTTGACAACGAAGAAGAGTTGTGATTGCACAACGAGCTCTGGCAAATTTTTTCACAACAAAGTTTTCGTGAAGTTCTGACTTTTTTTTTAACAGTGTACGTATGGGTCGAATTTTTGTGTGTTTTGCCTAAAAAATGGCCTGGTCTATGATGACCTCAGACGACCGCAGCAGCTGTGGTCTGTGGCCGCAGACTGGCATTTTCCGACAGCTAGATGAAGGGAATAATAACCCCTCTCTCTGGGGAGGGGTTTGTCGGCCCTGCGCTGAGCAATTGAACACCTCGGTTTCTGGAGAGAGAAATCAGATTACAGCGCGAGGTCTGTCCGCTCGCCGTCCGTCGAGCCAACTGCCGCCCTGCCGGCAGGGGCACCCCCTTCATCTGCATAAAATATCTTCATCATTTTCCGGCAAATGAGACAGCCCGGCAGCAGGGCGGGGCAGAGGGGGCGAATTAGAAGGCGCCGAGCCCGCCGCTGCCGCAGCTCGCGGCGTGTTCGACCTTCAAAGTCATTCCGATGTCCACAATGCGCCTCGTCTCCTACACCACGGCCTCAGGCGCAGCGCGGGCACAGCACCCCACCACGCCTCAGTAGGCCCCGCGGCCGCCCACAGGGCCCCCACGCCACCCCCGTGTGCCACCGGCTGAGCTCCGTCGGTCTAAAGTGTCCAACTTCCACTTTGGTCTCTACTTTCAATAAGAGCGGCCCTTATTCGCATCTGAAGCCCCCGCCTGCTCTGGTACTGTCGGGTGGTAAGGGCAGAAGACTTTTTAAAAGGTACCCCTGCTCCCCTCTCATTTGTTTCATACTCTTAAATACTATCTGACCCTACCTAAACCTAGAAAGAATCGACGAAAAAAATTAGTCATAACTCGTATTCTGTTATAGGCGACATACATGACAGTTCTTCTGCTTACC